GAGTAAGTGTATTATTATTATTATTATAATATCATTATTACAATTTAGATACTTCAGCAAGACAGTTTAGACAAATTTCTGACAAACTATCAGATGCTGTATCAAGTAGTGTGATTAAGGTGTCATCAGCACTTAACGCTAAAAGTCTCATAGCATTAAGTGTACATAGTTACATTATTGAACACCAAGACATCAAATTAACAAAAGCAAGAAGGCTAGTGCACGAACTACTACTAATGTTGAATAATTTATCTGAAGATGATTCTAAAGAAAAACTACAGGAAGTATACACCACACTAAAATCTATTCAGGAGCCACAAATCACTGATATAGTTCAACCATACATTAAATTATAATAATTATATTTTATATTATTTTATTTTTACAAAGCAGTTAGTTTAGCACTATAAGTTTTCTTCCCTTGAGATACAGACACTCTTGAATACTTCAATAATAGACCATTGAGGGATTGACCTGGTGACTCTAAATCACTATTGTAAAAGCAAGTGATAACAATGAAAAAGAACCAGCTATTCAATACATTGCATTATGAATGGGTCTAACATATGTCAGTACCTAATGTAAGGATGCATTTCATCATACGCCCACTTCTCTTTTACACTGAATAACTTTGAAAACCTTTAGAAAATAATAATATTTATTAATAAATAAGAATTAATAATTACCTTACCTTGCAGCTGGGTCTTCGGGTAAGTCGGTGGCTGGGAAATACCATATGACAGCTGGAACTGAATTTAAATCCGTCAATGCCAAACCCTACAACACATTACCAGTATTATTCTTATAGTATAGTATATAAGATTGCTTGTATACCTTCAGTTGGTCTAATGATGTTGTCATTCCTAATGGAACAGATGAAGGCCATGACTCCATAAACTCCTCATAATTGAACTAAATGTATGCAACATATACAAGCATAATTACAATAATTAATATGTATTTATATACATGTATTACTTATATAGATATACACATATACATGTTCATCCATGTATGCATATCATATAAAATCTTATATTATCATTTTATTTATTCATTACTTTTCCTGATTGTCTCAGAAACAGTTCAGCACAAAACTGACACACTTTATCCTCCTCTAGCCCATATCTCTTCTCTCCCTCGTCTCCAGTGAACACTACCCCATAACAATCAAGGACATGCTCCAGTACAAATGGAGGCTCTAGTTCCTCTAATTTCTGACACGTCTCCTTGAGAGGTATAGACTGCCATGACCAATCCTCTTCTTCCAGCAGTGTCAGTATACTCTGGAATACTTGATCACGATAATCTAAGTGAAACACTCTCCAATATCCTATCGATTTGAAATTAAAAAAAAGTTTTTAAATTCAAATTTGACTTTTTAAATTTGAAAGTGATGCCCTGTTTGTATTACCATTAATGAGACAAGCTTGTAATTGTTTGAGACCAGTCTTGAGTTCATCTTCACTTGCTTGTACCTTATCTAAATAATCATTATAAGTGTACTGTA